ACAATTCCAGCCTTATCTTTTTCCTCTGATGGTTTGGGCTCTTCCGTTATTCAAGATGAGGATATTTATGGAGCCTCCTCCTCCTTTGAGTTACTTAACTGTCCACTATCATTCCTGACTGAATATGGCAGGCCTGAAGAGCTTACATCTTATCTGTTGGCTGTAGGTTTGCTTAGCTCTGTCTACCACTTGCTGCTTACGCTGTTTGGTATGAAAGAAGTCCTGTTTGGTAAGTTAACGTCATATTTTTAGGTTTGTCTGGTGCTGCTTCTGGCATGCCCTCCTGCACTCTACATTGAACCAGGGTTGATCCCCTGGCTTGATGGTAATGGTAATGGTTGAGAGGGGGATATGCCGGACAACGAGGTAGCAGATTGTGCTGGAATATGATTCTGCTGCTGTTGATTGCCTACAGCGCGTTATGGATGCCCAGTTTTGAATTGCTACTTCTGTTCAAAGTCTGTTCCATTTAGCAAGGGGATAGTGCCACACAACATGATGGAGGTTATTCTCAATGTGAAGGCAAGACTTCATCTCCACAAGGACTATGCAGTGGGTTACTTTTAACTTTACTGTCATGGACAGATACATCTGCAGTCAGCAGATTGGTAAAGATGAGATCAAATATGTTTTTCCCTTTTGTTGGTTTCCTTTACTACCTACTGCAGATCTAGTCTAGCACCGATATTATTTAGGACATGACCAGCCCAATCATTAGTGCTGCTGCCATGCCACTCCTTGTGGTGAACATTGAAATCTTCCACCCAGAGTACATTTTGCACCGTTGTCACCGGCACCCCCCCCAGTGGTTCTTCCAAGTGTTGTTAAGAAGAGTATTGATTCATTAGCCGAGGGAGGACACGAGTTTTCCTTGCCTATGTTTAACCTGAAGCCATGAGATTTCACAGGTTCCAGAGTCAATGTTGAGGACTCCCAGGGTGACTCCCTCCTAATTGCATATGACTGTGATGCCACCTCTACTGAGTTTGTCCTGCCAGTGGGACAGGATATATCAAGTGATGGTTAATGGTGGCCTCTGAGACATTGTCTGTAACGTACGATGCTGTGAGTATGACTGTGGCAGGCTGTTACTTGGCTAGTCCGTGAATCAGCTCTCCCAATTTTGGCGCTAACCCCCAGATGTCAGTAAGGAGGACTTTGCAAGGTCAACAGGGCTATTTCTGCCGTTGTCTTTTCCAGTGCCTAGGTTGATGCCAGTTGGTCAGTCTGGTTTGATATGTTTGAGACTTTGTAGCAATTGATAGAACTGAATAGTTTGCTAGCCTGTTTGGAGGGCAGTTGAGAGTCAACCACATTGTTGTGGGTCTGGAGTCACATGCAGGCCAGACTAGGTGAGGATGGCAGAATTCCTTCCCTGAAGGACAACAATGAACCGGAAGGGTTTTTCTGACAATTGACAATGGATTAACGGTGATCATTAGATTCTTAGTTCCAGATTTTTTTTTATTGAATTCACATTCAGCCACCTGCTGTGGCAGGATTCAGACCCGTGTCACCAGAACAGTTTTACAGTACTGCTCAATTCTTTAAATGTTTACAGAGAAGTGCATTGGGTGAAATTATTGCTCAATGGAGCTGTTCAACTGCTCTGTGTCCCACAGAATTTATACTTGCATGTATTATTGGTCCTGAACAATAAAGTCATACCATTTCAGGGATTCCTTTTAGGTGTTAGAAGCTAAATTGGCAGAGACTCCTGTTTTTGTAAGCAAGCCATTTATATGACGTTTAATGGCTTGTCTTGGATATGTTCGACACTGATGCCCTTGACTACTGACCTTACCTGCTGAGTGTTTAGTCTAATTTCTTTCATGGTGAAGCCGTACAACCGGTTATTGAAGAACAGGTGTTTGCATATTCTTGTTTACAAATGCTGCTATATTTTGTACTATACTGGTTGATATAAAATTGTGTTTTTCTACTTTGATCAATTGGATTTTTTAATAGAGGCATAGGGTATAAAAAGCAAAGAAATGAAGCTGAATCTATATAAAGTCTCAGTTGTGTTCAATTCTGGTACCACGTTTTAGGAAAGATAGCATGGTCTCTGAGAGAATGCAGAAAGCTTTCTTGCCAAATGGTACTAGGATGAGAGAGCTCGAGTTCTGTGAACTTGAGAAGCTGGGATTATTCTCCTTAGAGCTGAGAGGTAATCTGGTAGAGGTGTTGAAAACTGAGAGTTATTTAAAAAAGAAAATGCTGTTTCCAGGGTTATAAAGGTCAGTAACCGTCGGATAAAGATTTAAACTGATAGAGAAACGAACCTAAGATGACATGACGAAACTTTTTTGAACAAGTGAATTTGGAAATGCACTGTTTGGTCCAGAAGGGGATTGAATGAATAGTCAAGGGAAATCTTTTTTTGCAGCGTTAGGAGGAAAGAGCAGGGTAGCATGATTTATTCAATAACTATTTCAAAGAGGGACAATGGGTGTAAAGATATCTAGTGGTGTATCATTTTATAATTTTATTCATTCACAGGATGTGGGTGCCTCTGACTAGGCCAGCATTTCTTGCCCATCCCTAATTGCAGTTAAAAGTCAGCAAGATTGCTGTGGGTCTGGAGTCATCTGGTTGACAGATTTCCTTCCCTGAAGGAGATTAGGGAACCTGATAGCTGTTTCTGACAATTGACAATTGTTTCATGGTCATCATTAGACCCGTAATTCGAGATTCTTTATTGGAATTTGAACTCGGGCCTTCACAACAGTAGCTGAGTTCTGGATTAATTGTCTAGCGATAATACCATTAAGACAGAGCCTCCCGGATTCTCTTTTAAGGACCGGAAGAGATTAGTGTTCCTTGAGGAGAAGTCCAACGTGCGACATCATTTAGTAATGCTCTATATACTTTATTGCAACGTATTTCAATACTAGTTATAAAATCTTTACATTTGGGGGCTACATGTAGGGAGGCAATTCTACACATATTCTAAAATAATGTAGTATTGACGAGCGGAGTATGTTAAAATTGCTACAGTTGCTGGATATCTGAAAAAGAAAGCTAAGGTGCTGGAGAAATCCAGTAGTCCTGGCAGCATCTGTGGCAAGAGAGAGAGAGAGTTAACATTTTGAGTTCAACATGTCCCATCTTCAGAGCTGAATCCTTTGAAACTCTCATTTGGAGGAAGTGTCATATTTAGACTCAAACTGTTAGCTCTGTTTCTCTCACCATGGAATCTGTTCAAGATACTGAGTTTCTCTCACACTTTGTTTTTTGCAACCTTAAAATGAGATTTGAATTTTTCCATTTCTACAGAAAGGACCATTTGGTGTCTCTGAAATTATTTTCTGATGAGTTTTCCATCCTCAATTTAGATGAGTCTGTTCATCATAATTTGATGTCTGATCTTTACAGTTAGCAGATAGTACTTGAGGGATAAAGGAAAATGTATTAAGTCTCCTCCAGTCTTCCTTGCCTTGAAACAGTTGTAAATATTTTAATTGGCTAATTCATTGTCAAAACTACATTTAAAATATGGAGTGCAATTTTAAGCAACCTGTTTTGTGAAGAACTTTCTGGATTGCAGTGCGTACAGATAAGGGGGACTTTGGAGCTTAAAGCCCCATTTGGAAAACCAACTCATAACATTGAGTTATATTTACTGGGGAATAAATTGGGAAGTTGAGAAAGGGGGAGATATTTAGTGTTCAAGATATTTAGGTTACAAGTTTATGAGATATCTTTAAATTTAATATGATTGTATAACCACTAATTGTGAGTACAGTATTGAAGTCATGGATCAAAGTAGTTCACTTAATATGTGGAATAGTGTTTTATTAAAAGGTAGTTCACATTGTGGTAGATTACTTCTGAATAGATGTAGATAAGTATCTGGCTAAGAGCAGTGTTGAAGGTTAAGTATGGAAAGAAGTAAGCATTTAATGTTTTGTGTGTGCTCTGGTAACCTATAAATGCTGTTTGTAGAATACAAATGCTCTTGACTAAATTTTAAAAAAAATTGAGTTATCTAATCATTTGAAATAACCTTAAGCCTTTTTATGACAGCACAACAGCCCTTTTAAATACTCTGCAAATTTGAATTATCCAGCAATTTTGAGTTAACAGCAGTGGGCTATAACATTGAAACACTAATACTTTGGTAGCAAATAAATTTCCACAGATGTTTACCTTGATGAAGTGAAATGAAAGTCACCATAGTCTGAGGATCATAGGCTACTCTCTCATTAGAGAGAGACGACTGGTGGGAAGCTTAACCTGAGGGTTAGCAGGCCTCAGGCCTTCATAATGACTTCAGCCAGTACAGGAATTGAAGTTTCAATAAATTCAGTGGCATGAAATTAGAAATTAGTTTACGGAAGTGTTTGGTTCATTTGGCTGAACGTTTATCGAGTTCCTCACCCACTTTTCTTGTTATGACTGTTGTTACTTGGTCTTCATTGACCAACAGATTCCATTCTAGTTTATTAGATATTCATTGCGTCTGAAGAATAGTAATCTCTCATTGGTCTAGTGTTTTAATTGTAAAATAATGACTAAGAACCTAGAAACAGTGGCCTGTCATTTCCACTATAGAGAGTCCCTCCAGGATTAGGTATTTAATAATATAAATGTAGTGAACTATATTGAATAAAAAGGTAACTACTTTAGTGTAAGAAAAAAAAGTTCAGTGCGTCAACTCGTATTTTCAGGGATAAGGGACAGAATGGATTTTCAGGTGGGAGCCCTTCATCAGATTTGAAGATATTATAAATTAACAAGGTGTAAAAAGGTACAGAACAAGGAAAAATAGGGCAGACTTTCAACCATGCTCATTCTCTCCTGTCTTTGTATATTGACATTAATACCTCAAGATATTCTAAAATGCCTTATAGAAAAGCTTTTGAAATGTGACTGTTGCAGCATGAAAGAAAATATTGTCAATGCTCACATTGCATTCAGATAGCTACCACCAATATTAAAGTTGATTTTTTTTTAATTTGAAGGGATGTTATTAATAGCAGGATTCTTCCTGTCTGAAGTCCCATGGCTTCATGCTTTCAAGTTGTGTAAGTTGATTTTTATCCAAAATCCTAAATTCAAGCCACACATTTCACTAATTTGTAGAAACAAGATGCATTGACTTCCCATTGTTACTCATCATTCAGTTTTGCTCTACTTTATTCGTCAAGTTTAAGGCACATTACATAACAGTTCAAATCAAACATTATATAAAATGCAAGAAAACCTACTTTCTTTCAGTACAATGTGTTATAATCTGAGGTACCTGATGACATTTTTAATTCTTTTATGGGATGTGGGTGTCGTTGGCAAGGTCAGTATTGTGCCCACCTTCTTTAACTGCTGCAGTCCTTCTCGTAAATTGCAGTTACAGTTTATATTTGCAATGTTGATTTCATGTCAAGTATATAAGCCTGAGGAGTTTTACACAATTTCTAGCCCACATTGTCTACAATGTGGTCCATGGACAATAGTGCTTCCTGTTGAGCCTCTGGATCATTATTTGCTAAGTTATTTGTAAAACTAAAGATCATAGTTGAAATTTTCTTTTGAGTGACATAAGAATCTTGCTCACAGTTACTGGTAACCTCAGTAATGTGAAACTGGATGTTGCTAAACTGTTTATCTTCAGGGTGCATGTTAAAATTTAGTATTTTCCAGGCCATTGTTACTATTCTCCAGTGTAGAAGAATTGTCTACAATTATAGTGGCATGGATTTTACATTGTCTATCCTAAACTTAAAAATCATTCATTGTCATTGTATTCTGTCCCAGTAACATATAGAAGTGAACTTCGTGAAGCGGTAATTGAGTTCTTTTCTTTCCCTGTCAAGGCTGTTTTTAAGTTTTAGTTTAAGATTATGTAAAATGATTTCTTGACCACCATTATTTATTATTTATTTATGCAAAAAAAAAATAGAAGATCAAGGCTTGTGCTGGATTAGGGAGTCTTGTTCAGCAGTGATTCTGTGCCAAGTTCTGCTAAAAGTTTGGGCCAATGTAGCCATGCTTTGGAGTGAATTAATATTTTTAATGCATCAACTATGTACAATGTCAAATTCCTTCTTCTCCAATAATCAACAGTATAGTCCAACATTATTGCCAGTAGATCTGTTAAATAGCAAATAGCAAAATGATGGAAGTTGGCAGTCTAACTGAGCAGCACTTGCTCAGCAATCATCTACATGCTGTCAGCTTGGGTTCTGCCTGAGCCTTTCAGCCCTGACTTCATTATAGCTTTGGAGAGTAACTCCCTTTGACATCAAGGCTGAATTTGACTCAGTGTGGCATCAAGGTGCACTAGCAAAATTGGAGTCACTGGGAATTGGTGGTGGTGGGATATTCTTGACCTGTTCTCTGATCATAAGGATTATAGTTGTTGGAGGCCAATCATCTCAGTCCTGGACATTGCTGCAGGAATTCCTCAAAGTAGTGTCCTAGGCCCACCTATCATTAATTGCTCCATCAATGACCTCCTCTATTGTAAGTCAGGAATGTTCACTATTAGTTGCACAGTATTCACCATTTGTGATTCCTCAAATGCTGAACCAGTCTGTGTCTATATATCGCAAGACCTGGACAGCCTCTGGGTTGGGTTTCAGTTGAGAAGCGGCAAATAATATTCACACCACATAAATGTAAAACAATAGTCATCTCCAATAAAATAATCTAGCCATCTCCCATTGACAATATTATCATAGCTGAATTTTTCACCATCAACATCCTCCGGATTACTATTGACCAGTAACTGAATTGGACCAGCCACATAAATGCTGTGGCTGCAAGAGCAGATCAGGCTAAGAATTTTATGATGAGTAACTTGTCTCCTGATTCCCAAAGACTGCACCATCTACAGGGCACCAGTAAGGAGTGTGATGGGATATTGACTTTATACCTGATGAATGCAGCTCCAACAACATTCAAGAAGTTCCATTTCATTCAGGACAAAACTTGATTTACACTCTCTCCATAATTAAAACAATGATACAACACTCTTGGAGAGAACAACAGTGTTTAAGATCAGAGCCCTTTTGTCAGAGCAGCTGAATGACCATTGACCTGTGTTCCATGCAAGATCATGGACCATAAGATACCATACTGTAGGTGTGGGCTGGAAGATGGAGGAGCCACTAGAGCAGAGCTGGTTCACTCCCTACCCAACAGTCATATATATGGTGTTCCTGATGCGTGGGAACATCAACTGAGCTTCCCTCAACCCTTACCTTACCTTGAGAATAGTTATAGTGTCCTGTGCACTCTGCAATATCCTCACCCCAACTCCTGAGATCTCTGTGACTCAACTATCCACTGGGTTAAGTATGGAGTGTCTTCAGTGAAACATTGTTTTAAATTTTTTAATGTCCATCTTAAGGATGCAATTGACAGTGTAGGTAGCCAATTAAGCTCAGAACAGTTGAAATGAGCTGGGCCTTATTTAGTTTTAAAGTTTTATAAATTTGACAATAGTACTGTAGTATTGCAGTAATGTGCAGCACTGTAAATTATGCATGTTTCATGCTGACAAGGTAAATTATAGTGTGTATTAAATACACAGCTTTATTTCATGGATAATTTGATTTAGACTCGGTCACTTTATTTTATTAAGATGGTGAAATATTTTTCTTCTGTTTTCAGTTTCCAGAGCAATTCATCAGAAATGTAGGGAAAAAAAAATCTGCCAAGAGTCGACGGCATCCATTGTGCAAACCACCTGCTAGATCTCCATCAACTCTGGTCAAACAAGAATTGATAAGCGATGAAGGTTAGCATTTTAGAGACCGCGTTGACATTGGAGCTGTGAAATAATAATTATTACCCTTGTCCGTATTTAAATACATATTCAAAATGTTTACAGCATCAATTGGAAAATGTTTTAATATTGCATGTAGTTTAAAACTTTCATAACCAACTGCTGCTGTTTTAAAGTTCATTACTGTGGTATACATCTGTGAAAGGATTTAGATTACTGCCAGTGAGTCACCTTTAGTGATTTTCTGGAGTTAATATTGCCTACAATAGAGTAATTGCAACATCTTCAATTTTGTAGTGTTCTCAGGTTCCAGCTGAACAAATATTCTTTACTCCCAGAGTTCACTTATACGTTGAAATACAGAATTTATTTATAATAACTTTAAAAGGTGATGGTCCATTCAGAAATGAACACTTCTATATGGCAGTAGGAGTAATTTCTTCGACTTGAGACTCTGCTTTTGCAGCATGAATGCTATATAAGCTTTAGTTTTGTGGTCAGCAGAGAAGGAATGGTTGATCCCAGAGGTCTGACTGGCTTTAGACTGAAGACTACCTATCACAGAGTATCTGTTGCCAGGAGTATGATGTGAGAAAGTGTGTTATAGTTGTTTACTTTGGCAGGAAGAATAAAACAAGAGTATTATTTAAATGGTGAATGACTGCAGTATTCTGACAAATTTCTGCTGCTCAGCAGGAGCGTGCCCGAGACATTCCCAGTGTGTGTGTTGCATCATGCTCTCTTTATTTTCTTGCTGGTTGCATGCATTCCTTAAGTCAAATGTTAATATAACCTATTTCCCCTTGCTGTGTCTAGAGTTTGTCATGAATTTGATGCACTAAGGTATTGGGCTTAATATGTGGGCTCATTGCTACGATAGCAAGAACTGCAGATGCTGGAGTCAGAGATAACAGTGTGGAGCTGGAGGAACACAGCAGGCCAGGCAGCATTCCTCCAGCTCCACACTGTGCTATCAGTGTTATGATATTTGCTTTTTACTGTATTTATGCAGATGTTGGGGACATGATCTGCAAGTTTTCAGATTATCCAATTAATCGAGTTACTGCTGAGGAGGATCTTGAAGCACAGGAGATTAGGCTTGAGATGTAGATAGGTGTGTGTGCTTCAGGAAGGTGCTAAACTGTATATACCTTACAGGAAAACAAGCTTCAATTCAAGTAGAGAATTAATGGTGTGCATTTAACCCATCCTGACATTAAGATGTTGTAATGAAAATCCTGAGCCAGCTTTTTACCATTGGTCGTTTCTTATACTGTTGCTGTTGTTATACTTTTATTGAAACCTAATTAAGCACTTCTTAAGACAATAACTTCAAAATTGAAAATAAGTGTGGAAGTGCAATTGTAAATGTCACACTAATGTTCCAAGTTCTCCAAAACAATAATTCATATACATTTTCTACTTCTGAGCTAATTAAATCAGGAATTGGACTTGTTGGATAATAGGATCATTGATGAAGGAAATTGACTTCTTAAAAAGTGATTAGCTGAATATTTCTACAGAATGATGGGTCACGAATACTCATGGACTCTAAAACCTTAATCACATGCTGCTAAGTCTGGGAACAGTTGTCCCAGGACTTGCCTCCTTCTGCTCCCATACAATGAGATATATCTTCCATAAATGTTTCCCCCGACTGTTCAGATTCAAAGAGCCCTGCCGTACTCTGCACACACTCTTAATTGTGAGTTTAAATAAATTTGTAGTGAAGCCTCTTTTTGAGTATCAGTGCTGTTTTAATGTCATGATTTTCCTATTTTCTTTCTGGAACCTTGGAAAAGCTTTAAGAAAAGCTGGGTAGAGTGCTGTTTACTATCATCTGTTGATCATCCCAGCTGATGGTAATAATGGATAAGTCAGAGTGAAACCTGGTTTGAGAGATCATAAGTTTTCTCTTGGAATTTGTCTACCTCAGTTACTGAACAATTGATCCAAGGCTATCAATGTACTGTTAACAAAAGAACATCAAAGTTTCTTACATATGAACTGAAAATATTAGCTATATTATAAGAACTGGTTGAAATTGTTTTATTACTAATATTAAAAATAAAAATCCAATCCTATTTTGCTTGACAGCAAATTACAGAGACTGAAACCTTGGTGAAAGGTCGCTATTTCCATTTTATAGTTTCTGTTTGGCAAACTTCTGTATTCACTTGATGCTGTTATCTTTAGTTCATGTCCCTTTGTGGGATCCTTAAACATGTGTTCCTTAAACTCATGTATTCTGCAGCCTTATAAGATCCCTTTCTGTCAGAACCTAACGCCTTCGGTTTCTGGAGCTTTACCTTTACTAAATTCTAAACCACTCAAAAGTTATTTTCTTCTACCCTAACTGTCCTGGAGACTGCTAAAATGTACTGTTGCTGTTGTAGGACTTTTTTCTCAGTAATCTGCTTCTCTGCCTGAAAGAAACCTGCACACTCGCTAACCTTCTGGATAATCCTGCCTCCTTCACTAAAGGGAAAAGTGTTTCTGTCTCTGTCTGTCTGTGGCTTGGTAAATTCTGTGTCTAAACCCATTTTTTTCTCTCTTCTACCCTTGTTGTGTAAAGCATTGAACTATTCACCTCAACATTTTTTTAAGCCCCATTGAATGCATGCAAACAAATTTCTGGATAACGAAAAGAGAAATGCTGGTGAAACTCAGCAGGTCTGGCAGCATCTGTGGAAAGAAAGTAGAGTTAATGTAAGGACTGAAGTAGAGTTATACCTGAAATGTTGACTGCTCCTTTCCTCCAGATGCTGTCTGGCTTGCTGTGTTCTTCCAGCCTCCTGTTTGTCTGTCTTGGATTCCAGCATCTGCAGTTTTTTTTGTTTCTAGAACAGAAGAAAAGCTGACTAAATGATAATAACAGCTAAGAATAGGAGAGAATTGGTGAGCTGTACTAGAAGCGATCCATATAATATGATTCTAGGCCTAGGAGTAGGTGAAAATGGGTGACAGTGCTAAAAGCAACCTAAGTATTAACAGGACTGGGCTTAGAGTGGGTAAAAAACATTGAGGAATGGAATCAGGCTGTGAAGTATTGAGCTCGATGTGGAGTCCTGGGGGCTGCAGGGTCCCCAAACAGAAAATAAGATCTTGCTTTTTGTGCTTGTGTTGAGGCTTGGTGGTTCACTTCAACAGATGGGGAGAAATTTTGGCGTTGTAACACAGTGGTGTGATGAAATAGCAGGCAACTGCAAGATCAGGATTATTTTTGCGGACAGAACATGTGTGTTCTGCAAAGCATTTTCTTGCATGGTAGAGTGCTGTGGGGTGTTGAGGAGACATTTTCCAGATAACCCTGCACCACTCAAATCTTAAAAATGAAACTCAAACTATGTTCTTCCCTCCTTAACATGCGGAGTGTAGAAGTACAAACTAAACCTTAAGCTATACATGGTTCTATTCATTCTAGAATTCAAGTTTCCATATATGATATGAACTTTGAAACCCTTGTGAAGGATCTTTTGAGTGTGCTGCTCTTAGAAACAATGTTCCCCCTATGATATGTGGATCCATGGGCCTACAGCAATCTGAATCTTAATATACAGGAAACAAAACAAACCATGTACAACTCATACAGAAATTGCTGGAAAAGCTCAGCAGGTCTGGCAGCATCTGTGGAAAGAAAGCAGGGTTAATGTTTTGGGTTCACTGACCCTTTTTCAGAACTCTAGCATTTTCAGCATCTGCATTTCTTTGTTTTTTTTCGTCAAGCATAAGCCATGTTCCACTAAGATGCACATGCATAGCTGTCCAGAAATCTTAAAAGAATCAAGTAGTGCAATTGACAGACTGCCTAATAGTGAAAATTAAGTAGGGGCATTGCTTTGAAAGCTTTGGGTATGGAAAAATTTAATATGCAGGTGCGTTGCTGCTCAATCTGCAGAGCTTCGATGAGGTTATTTGGGTATAAAATGCTGTGTGAAATGTCTTAGTATGTAAATGCATTCGGAATGAATTCTTGCATTTTGGGGTACTTATGAGCTAGCATTGGGGTGTATCAATGTTGCAAGAAGTTCAGGCAGTTTTGGGGGGAGTTGAACTGGATTTTTTTTCTTCATTCATTAACGGGATGAGAGCGCCACTGGCTAGGTAGCATTTATTGCCCATCCCTAATTATCCAGAGGGCAGCCCAGAGTCAACCACATTGCTGTGGGTCTGGTGTCACATGTAGGCCTGACCAGGTAAGGATGGCAGTTTCCTTCCCTAAACGACATTGGTGAACCAGAAGAGTTTTTCCGACAACTGACGGTGGATTCATGGTCGCCATTAGACCATGTCATTAGATCTTAATTCCAGATAATTTATTGAATTCAAATTCTACCAGTTGCCATGGCACGATTTGAACCTGGGTCCCCAGAATGTTATCTGGGTCTCTGGATTAACAGTCCAGCGATAATACCACAAGGCCATCACCTCCCGCATTTATGAATGCTTAGAAGAAGGCTGGAAGGTAGCACTGTAATAAAGAAGAGATGGTGTGGAGCAGTGTTTGTGGAGTTGGGTCTGTTGTGTGTAGGCAAATCTGGTTCATCCCACCTAAGTGCCATGAGGCCATTCCTACTCCATATTCCCTGGCAGATGACCAAACCTGCAATTGGCATGAAAAGATTTTAGGATTGTAACTCTTATTCAAAAATATCAAAGCTTTATCCAAAATATTTAAGTCAAATAATAATATTAATGCAGTAGATTTTCAGACATATCTATGGCATATCTGTGTGATTAATCTGTTTGGCTAAGTTAGAAAGTTTTAGATTTTCAGATAGTTTGTCTTTAAGGAAGAAAATATCCATAAGCCTTTTAATTTCTTACTTTGTCTATTCCTGTGAACTCTGTTTCTATGTCTCTTGCTGTCTGTCTGGCTCTGCCTCGCTTGAGCATCTGCCCCCCACACCACACAGCCAGCACCTTTCACCCAATTAGTTATCTAATCTAATCCACCTATTATTCATAATTCTCTAATCAATGCTCAGGATGTGAAAATACAGTGCACTGAA